ACACACACACTTATTCACACACACAGACACCCACACCCACACCCACACCCACACCCACACACACCTGTGAGAGAGACGATGACTTCTGTCGCCAAGTCGTAGCACCCACTAGGATGTCCTGCCCGACAACTACAGCTGGTCTCGTTGAGACAAACCGACAAGGACGGGACAAACTTTCCGCCATTCACGTCCCGACCCGCACACTGTAGAGAGATGTCTGAGGCAGAGATTTCCGGGAATCCCCCATCGACGTGACACTCTACACTGTGTTCTGTGCCTGCTTCAAGAACAATTGTGTTATCCGCACCGACACCAGTGAAGGTTTTACCGTTGATGACCAGTGTAGGTGCCGTCTTGGGAGGTTCTGATGAGAAAAAGTTTTGCTGTTACATTGGAACAGCTTGATAAGAGGAAACTTACAACGCCTTGCAATTACGCACGCGTCAATTTTGGGCACATATTATGGAGTTTTTGGCTTCATCTTAGGCCTTTTTCATTGACCTTGCTTTCTGTGGTAAAATAATCGTCCGTCTTATATTGAAAAACCCCCCACCAAAACCTGTGGTTGTGTATATAACCTGTCTGCTAATCACATTCTAGAGTTTAACTTCAGCCCCTCCCCCCCAAAAAAAAAACCCCAAAACCCCCCCAAAAAAACAAACAGAAAAAGAAAAAAACCCAAAACTTCCTCACCTTGCACGTAAATATGCACAGGTGGACTGTCTTCTGTCATGTCTCCAAAAATGCTGTTCGCTGCTTCACACCGGAACTCGTGATTTCCTCCACTTGTCGGCACAAAGTCGTGGGAACATTTGTCGTTTTCTGTACACGCAAGAACAATTTTCTCCCCTGTTGGCGCCATTGTGAGGGTAAAACTTGCTGCTGGGTAGACAACTCCCACAGAACATTCCATTGTTATATCTGGTGTCACTGACGGACACAGGTTATACGTTCCGGACTCCTCTGGTCTCACGTTTTTTCTCTCCAACGTGACGTCTTCAGGGCTGTCTGTACACAGAGATGGCAATAAATGAAAAGAAATATATAGACACAAACATGT